ACACTACCCAACAACAATAGCATAAATATTCTTTTCGGGTGCACATGGGACATTTTTAGGAGAGACTATATGTTAGGCCACAAATTAAGTCTCAAGAAATTTGAAAAGATGGATCACATACAAAGTATCTTCTCTGACCACCAGAGGGGATGAAGTTAGAAATCAACACAAGTAAAACTAGAAAATAAAATTGTGAAAATTAAACAACTCACTGTTAAATAATCAGTGAATCCAAATAATTAAATCACAAGAAAAACAGAAAATACTTAGAAGTGAATGAAAATGAAAATATAAGTTTTGGTATGTGTGGAAACACAAGAAATTTGTCAAGTCAGCAGCCTAACAGAACAAACTAAATGCAAAGCTAGCAGAAGGAAGGAAGTAATAAAGATTAGAGCAGAGATAAGTGAATAGAGAGCAGAAAGACAATAGAGAAAAATCAATGAAAGTAAACACTGGTTCTTTGAAAAGATTAACAAAACTGACAAACCTTTAGCTAGATGGACTAAGAAGAAAACAGAGAAGATTCCGATTACCAAAATCAGAAATGAAAACGAGGACGTTACTACTGATTCTACAGAAATAAGAAGGATTATAAGAGTACTATGAACAATTGTAACCAACGACTTGTATAATCTAGATGAAATGGACAAATTCCTAGAAACAAAACTGACCAAGACTAAATCATGAAGAAATAGAAAACCTGAATAGATCTATAACTAGTAAGGATATTGTTTCCCCAAGAATTGTTCCGCTTCTAAAATCTTAACCTTCAATATTCTACTCTTCAGCTACTTATTACGTACACAATAATTTGTAGTTTTGACTAGTTACTGATGGGTTAAATAATCGTCACAATTTACCCATAACAGTGGATAAAAATATTTACCTGATTTAATTTTTTTTTTCACTTTTGATGAGGCAAAAGAGCATAGTGCTGATAAACTTGTAGACTGCCCAAGGGGAAGTTGCACTCTGTGGTTCATTTAGTCAAAGAAGTACTATTAATACACTCTTTGCTCCTTTTAAGCTACAAATATCTATTTTCTAAAGAAAGGTTAAATATATGTTAAAAATTATTGCTTTTGTAGCCAGTCTGGATAACTAGAGTGATTTTTCTGACTTACTGGTTAGTGGGAATAGTGAAAATGATGATATTAGCCAGTAAGTTATAAAATTAATGGTTTTTTAAGATGATTCTGTTATCACTCTGAAACCATTTTTTAAGATTGCATATTCCATTTGTTAATGTATTTAATAACTATATTTTTTCTTTCAGATCATGGGGTTTTATTAATTGCAGGGAATAGTTTTTTAATTAAATTTTTATTGAAATATAATGTACATACAGAAATGTATACACATCATAAGTAAACATATGAATTTTCATGAAGATAACACACCTGTGCAACCAGCACCAGAGCATGAGTCAGAACATGGCCAGCACTCCCAGAGCCCTGGCCCTCCCATCCCCCCCACACGAGGGTAACCACCATTAGGAAACATAACTTTAAAGTCTAATAAATGAATATTCATGTGTGCCATCATTTTTTGTTTCATCTTTGCCAATCTTTGAATATATTTTTTCTCCATTTTTAAATTAAATTTTCATTTTATTAAAATAACACAGACATTTAGGTTTACAAGTTAAATAGTAGTAAAAGGCATATTACAAAATATAGCAATTTCCTGCTCTACCCCTCCCTACTCCTCAAGATCCTTCTCCCTAAAGGAGAGAAACCCTTTAATATTTCTTATGCTATTTGTAAATTTCCATATTTCATATTAATAGTTATGTACTGCTATTTTTTATTAATCAAAATTAGGCATTATCTGTTGACTTCCTATTATAGTAAATGAGAACTTAACTCTTATATCATCACTTCCACTACTTCCCTTTCTTACCTTCCCAGTATATTTACAGTAAAATTTTTGGTTAAAAGAATATTCTCTGTTAACATTTTATGCCTATGCAAATGATATGCAAAATGGGTATCATAGAATACTATGATTATGGGGGGTTTCTCTTTGTTTTTCACAATGTTAATAATTATCTTGGCTTTTATGTTTTTCTTTTTCTTTGTGAGCCTCTTGTCTAAAATTTTGATCTCCCCTGCCTTCCTTGTTTGGGCTTTGGTTCTGGATACAGTCACTAACCTTTGTGATTGCCAAATCCATTAGAATCTCCAGTCCTGATCTTTTGGAGATGTACTTTCCTTGTAACTTTTTCCTTCCTTGGTTTCCATGACATCACTTTCTACTAACTTTCTGGCCGTGCCTATTTAGAGATGTTAGTGGATTCTGTTCATTTGCCCTCCTCTTAAATATTGTGTTCCTTAAGATTCTATCCTCAGCCTCATTCTTACCAGCGTATTTGTCCTGGCCATGAATGACTCTCATTATCTACTCTTCCAATATAGAAATATTTCCTAAGCTCCAGATCCAGCTATTTAACGGGTCACTGAACATGCAGATGGAAGGCATAAAAACAAATTGGTTATTGCACCTCCCCTGCTCCTTGTGGTATCTGCATATGAATTGGGTAGATGAGTTTGGTATCTGCGCTACCTACAATTCCCTTTCCTTCCTGCCCCACCACAACACACAGACACTTCACTTCTCTGCCTCTACAGTTACCTTCACACATGCACATGCACACACACATGCACAGAGGCACACACACGTCACTTTCTTTTTCCCTCTCAAACACCAGCACTGAAGCTCTCCATTTTTATTGTCAAGAAGACCTAAAGCTTTCTGTTCCCCATTGTTTCCTTAGGTAGACTGAATTGAGGTGATGGGATGTTGGGCCAACTGTGAGATCCCAGAAGCAGCAAAGTATTTTACTAATTTAGTATGTTTCATTTGTACATGTTATTAACTATTTTAATGGACCATCCCTTTCAAAACATGTTAATCCTTGAAACGCTTATAGAATGATCACGTGAAACAAGTAGTGCATATTATTACCGTTTCTTCTGCTTCGTTACGTTCAGATTTGAAAACACCAGTGGGATTGTAATATGAATTTTGTTACCTTCAGATTAAAAATTACACATGTAGGGCCGAGCCCATGGCGCACTCGGGAGAGTGCGGCGCTGGGAGCGCAGCAGCGCTCCCGCCACGGGTTCGGATCCTATATAGGGATGGCCGGTGCGCTCACTGGCTGAGCGCGGTGTGGCCGGTCTCAAAAAGGACAAAAAAAAAAAAAAATTACACATGTAGGGCCGAGCCCATGGCGCACTCGGGAGAGTGCGGCGCTGGGAGCGCAGCAGCGCTCCCGCCACGGGTTCGGATCCTATATAGGGATGGCCGGTGCGCTCACTGGCTGAGCGCGGTGTGGCCGGTCTCAAAAAGGACAAAAAAAAAAAAAAAAAATTACACATGTAGGACTATAATGTGAATTTACAGGCGGAGATAATTTATTTTGTCCAAAGAAGAAAGAAAAAGCACAATGGGAGGTTCTCCTGTCCACTTTTGTCCCAACGTATAATTAGGACCATGAGTGTGAGCTCACATTCCTAAAAGCGTTCAAGTTCCCGAGGGGCCCCAGATCTTCAACCACATCTCATTCATGGATCAGAATGTTCTGTGGGAAGACAGAGCACAGTGTCATTTCTCTTAGTGACATTTTTTGAAAGAGGTATTTTCAGTCTTTCTTCCAGTCACAGCATTTATTGAGTCACTGCTAAGTGCCAGGCACTATGTTAGACACTGGTGATAAAAGATGATGAAATGTGCTCTTTTCCCTGAAGTTCATGGTAAGAATAAAGATGTGGGTACATGTCTCTTGGAACCTTGCTCCTCAAAGTGTGGTCTGCAGACCTTGAGCATCATGTGGGAATTTGTTAGAAATGCGGAATCTCAGTCCAAGATGGATCAACATCTCTGTCCAGGATTCTGCATTTCTGACAAGCTCCCAAGTGATACTAGCACTGTCAATCCATGGACTGCACTGAGTAGCAAGGTCTTAGAGTACTCTCTTCCCACTGGTTCTTTTGCTATCCCCCATCAACAGAGTAGAAGAGGAGGTGCACTTTCTGTGCCTCCAGGGAGCTGCCTTGAGATACACAGCCTAATGGAGAGATGACAGAGGTGCCTTTTCATAACAATGTAACCTGCTGTGGGGCTCACTTTAATCCATCTGTCAGCATTCAGAGCTTCTAGGATGGAATGTGTAAAGACTCACTGATAGCAAGATAGCCAAGAAGTTGCTAAATTGCTAGAAGTTGCTAGTTGGCGGCCTTAGCTGGCATACTTGGAAAGAGGAGATATGATTACTTTCAAGGTACTTTGCCTGCCTAATGCAAATACATTAGCTTTTTATCATTCAGATGGAGCCAGGACCTCTAAGCAGAGTTAGAACGTTATCACAGTAGTCCAGATGGAAGTTAATGAGGCCTAAACTAAAGCAAGAGAGGCTGGATTTATGACATTAGGAATGTTGAATCAAATCAGTTAGAAGTGGCAGAAATTGTAGAGAAGAGCTTCTAGGTTGATGCTCAGGTTATTGGCTCTGGGCACTGCTGGATGAGTTCACCTGGAGACTATAGGAGAAAGAACAATGTGAGAACTGCGTTTCACTCTCGATGAGATGGAGAGTGAGATGTTGATGGGACCTGTCTGGTAGGTATTAAGGTGTGTAGTCCTGGAGCTCTGGAAAGGAGCCTGGCTGGAGCTGCACAGACACTATCAGAGTTGACTTGGTAATATATTTGAAGCTGCAAGTGTGGATCAGATCACTCAGAGAGTGCTCTGACTGAGGAGAGACGAGCACCGAGCCGGGGGCCCTGTGAAACAAGAGCCCTCCAAGGAGCTGAGAAGGGACATTCCAAGAAGTAGTCAGCACAGCTTCTCTTTTATTTTTAAAAAGTGTAAGGGTGAATTCTAACAGGTTTCACAAAGTTTTTCATTGTCATTGTGCTCAGTGACCGTGTTGGTAGTTTTTTGGTATTGTTTGGTGGTTTCTAGCTTACCAGTTTCTTCTGTTCATTTTTAAGGTCCTTAAAATTCTGGTTAGGGCAGTGGTTGATGGGATGACCGATAGAAGTGGAGCCGTAACAACCAGCCTCAGAGGAAAGCTGCAGGAGTTATTTGGCAGAGTAACTTCAAGAGTGACAAATGATGGAGAAATCTGGAGGCTGTATGCCCAAGTATGTGGAAATGGGCAGAGTGAAAAGCCTGATGAAAATGAAAAGGTAAGCCTTTCTTCAGTCCTCTTGGGCCCTTGCCTTTTGTTTGAGCATGGGTATAGTAGAACTGCTTTTTTGATGGGTGGAGGAAGAGTATAATAATCTGAAAGATAACATTTATATGCTCAAGTGCAGTTTCGAATCAGTCTTTAACATAAGCACTTTGAACTGTGGGCAGGTTAAGACTTGTAACATTCGTCTCTTTCCTTTCCATGCATTTTTCTTTTTCTTTTTTTTTTTTTTTTTTTTTTTTTTTTTCGTCTTTTTCCGTGTCCGGCAACGGATCGCAACCCTCAGTGTTGCCC